CGTAGTATTATTGTGCTCATTGATGCGCTTTATCCCTATGCTCTGGTCACTCTTAGACGTGCCGAATACTGCTGCTATGACTGCCTCGTGGTCGTTCGGGAATTGCGACCAGCGCTTGTACCACTTTAACCTTCTGACTCTCAGCTCGTCTGCGCTCCTGTTGATCCTCCATTCCCTGAACACCTCCTCCACCGTCGTTGTCCTCTCCCTTCCTTGCTCGTCAGTCCAACAGTTCTTTCCCCTCGACAGGTACCTGAGTAACTTGCACAGAGTAGTGTCGACCGCGTCTGTGTACTTCTTACTTATCACAAAACATGATAACCCACTCAATGCTGCACCCACAATAAAAGCCATGAACATGCTACGCTTGATAACCTTCGAGGTCTTGGACGACCAGAACGTGCTACACTGTCTCCATGCTGCTCTTGCTGCGTCGCAGCGTCTCCTTATCTCGTTTCCCAGCCCCTGGTCCGAAGGTATGTAGGGCCCCGGCACTCTCATCTCTCGCACGGCCTCTCCCCTGAGTCCACTCGTCTGCTTCCTCAGTGCCCGAGTGCTTTGGTAGCTTCGTTCACCTCGTAATACTAGAAGGTGGTTTGTCTTGTCAGGGTTGAGCCGCCAGTTTCCTGCTGTTAGTGCCTCCTCGAGCCTACCACTTACCAGGTTTAGCTGCTCTACCACTTCCTCTTTTCTTGCTGCGAAAGGTAGCATCGTAATTTTAGTAATATCATCCATGAAGGTGCTAATGCTCAGGTCGTAGTGCTGCTCATTTATGGGGTGCTGAATATCGTTCACCTGCTGTCCTTCCTGTTCCCTCTCTCCCTCTAGCCAGCCTGTGACGATTGGGTTGTAGCAATCGTTAAAGTCACGCGGAGCCAGCGTGAAGCCCATCTGGGCCCCTTTGTTGCTTTTCAGGTCAACTCGTTCGTCGGCTGCCTGTAGGGACAAAGCAGTGTGCTCCAGCGCTCCGTATGCATACGGGATGTCATGCTCCTCGGTGGTGCGATCTATTGGTTCTCGGAGTAACGCTCTGTCGGTCGACGCGAATGCGTTTGTACAGTCAAAGTTGCTCATGATACGCGATCTCCCTGCCTGTTCCCATCTCCACTTCGTGGCCGGCAATACCAGCACTGCATGTTCTCGTGACCTATGCGCTAGTCCTCCGTGTGCAAAGTGAGGTCGAACAATAGGCAGCGCTCTTCTGTGTATCCCACTGTGCCATGCCATGCCAGCTGCGCAGTATGCGTGCATGATGCGCTTCCCCGCTATTCCTATCTTATTATTCGCTTTCGCTGCTGCAAAATTGTGCGATCGTAGCATGTCTAGCGGCATAGTCTGGCATTGTCTGAAGTGATCCATAATCTTCAGCAATCTCTTCGGTGCTTCGTACTCTACTTCTTTTAAAAAGTGGCATTCCCACTCCCGATAGTTCCGTTCTGCCAAACTGCCAGTGGGGGTCCTCTATAACTTCTTGTGCTGGCTCTCCCGCTGCTCGCTGGCGTGCTCCTACTGTTTCACCTGGGTTCCAACCTAACTTCTGCAGGATCTTTCTTCCTGTGGCTAGGCTGAAGTGCGTGCTGTGCTTCTCAAACTCCTCCTCGTCTTCCTCTTTCTCTGCTCCTCTAGTCCTCTTAGCTTTTAGTCTCTTTGTTTTCTCGGTTGGTCCAGACAAGTTAATATTTGGCGCAATCAGCATCCACACGCTTTCAACAGGGAGACCCCACTCTGGGTACGCTCGTCGTTTTTTAGCCTTTCTGCAGTACGCTTTCATGGCCCAACAATCTTTCAGCACTCTAATTTTTAGATCACCGTCCGAGGGGAGGAATTGAAAGTCACCATCGTCCAGCTCGCAGTCGTTCGCATAGTCCTGCCTAGTCTGTTCCCAATCGAGCGGGGTACACGCTAGCCCTCCCTCATGCGGGTCACGACCTAGCTCCTCTCTCCACTGCTCGCCTGACCAGTGACAACGGTGGCTGAAATAGAACCTCTTCTTTGGCCCCCGCCCGTTCCGCTGATACTCTACCCTGAGTCTATGCATGTCAGCGAATATGTTCTCCTTGTATGCCTCCCAGATCTCTCGAACGATACCTTCTCGCTCTGCAGCTACGTGTGCTTCCCTAAGCTCCTTCAGTGCTGCCGTCACTCTTTTCAGTTCTTTTCCACCTCTGTCCTGCTAGCCTCTGTGCCATCCTCGTGCAGTCCTTCTCTGTGCTGCCTCCTCTCCTCCAGTAGCTGCATCCTTCTCGTACACATCATGCTGTATGTGCTGTCATTGCTGCGCGCGCCCTGCTTGAACGTGCCGTGCAACGCCGCTTTCACACACTCCACGTACTTTTTCCATAAGAAATCATGGGACTTCTTAGAATACAGCTGCTCCCAGATATCTATAGATACCTTTTTTTATCTGTTCATCTATCTTAGTGAACAGCTCTTCTCTTCTGTAGCCTTTCTGCAGGCACCTCATCAAGCACCCCCGATCTATCTTGTCATTGTCACCTGTCGGGTACCCGTGGTTGGTGACTGACATCTCCACGTGTATACCTATCGGGATGTGGTCCCTGAACCTTCTCTTTGGGATCATCTGGAGTCTTTTTTGCTGCTCTATATAGGCAGCTGCACTGAGAGACAAGCGGGATGGCCCCGATAGGGGCAGCAACGTGATCAATATGTGACTCTTGCCCTTTGGGGCCGTAGAAGGTGGGCCCATGCTCGTAGAAAGTAGTTACCACTGCCAGCCCGTTCTTGTAGCAGAACTCTCTGTATGCCCTACCATTCTCGTTCTCGCAACAAAGGTTCTTTCCTCCTAGGGTCGCGCTTCTTGTCCTCTGCATGGTGCCATCGTCATCTCTATGTATTCCTAGTCCGCTATTCACGTCCCCTCCTATTATACTAGCACATCTCACCCCCAGTGCGTCCAACTGCTGGTCTATCCACTTGAATACCCTTTCTGCTACCAGTGTGTGCTTCGCATCACTCATCGGGGCGAGGTAGATACAGAAGGCCACGAAGTCAACTTCATTCGTCTGAATACGAATGCCACCCACCCGCCCTCTTATTTGCACTGGAGGTACGTATAAAGTGTGCAATCCTCGACTAGGTATCCGATTGTGTCCCAAAATCGTGACCCCGCATGCGTCCGACACTAGCTTTCCCTTCCTCTTCCCAAAGTGTACTCCCCAGTGTCGCGCGCGTGCATGTTGCTGCGCTCCATGGTCGGGCTGTGCAACTTGGCATGTGCCAGATACAAGCACCACGTCCCACGATCCCAACTCGCTGGATATATCTTCATGCCTCTCGTGCGATGCAGACAACGGGTTGTATGTGCACACTCTCATAATTCTCTCCGTCAGTACAGCTGCCAGAAACCTCCCAACAACTCGTTTCATGCAAGCAGTAGGCCTCCTGCAAGAGAGGGAAGTGAGGTACAGTATCCTCGCTCCTGAAAGGGAAGGTTTCCTACCTTGGAGCGGGCTGCCCGCGCGCTGTGCACGTCTGAACCGGCAGCTGAGGAGGAGGAGGAGGAGGAGGAGGAGGAGGAGGAGGAGGAGGAGGAGGAGGAGGAGGGGAAAGATGAGGAAGACGACAACGACCATGAGGGGGATGCAGGGGTGGTCGTGGTTCAGGGGGTTGCAGGAGCAGTTGGCGATGGAGGAGGAAACGAAATGGCACGATAGGAAGATTCGAGGGCCTGGAGGATGGGAAGGAGGAGGAGGACGATGATGCTGCTGATGATGATGCTGATACTGATGCTGATGATGAAGGTGATGATGATGATGATGATAATGATGCTGCTGCTGCCGATGATGCTGATGCTGATGCTGATGCTGATGCTGATGATGCTGATGCTGATGCTGCTGCTGATGATGATGCTGCTGCTGACGATGATGATGATGATGATGATGATGATGATGATGATGATGATGATGATGATGTTGATGCTGATGGTGATGATGATGATGATGCTGATGATGATGACGATGCTGTTTCTGATGATGATGATGATGATGATGATGGTGGTGGTGGTGGTGATGATGATGATGATGATGCTGATGCTGATGCTGATGCTGATGCTGATGCTGCTGCTGATGATGAGGATGAGGATGATGATGATGATGATGATGATGATGATGATGATGATGATGATGATGATGATGATGAGGATGATGATGATGATGATGATGATGATGATGATGATGATGATGATGATGATGATGATGATGATGATGATGATGATGATGATGATGATGATGATGATGATGATGATGATGAGGAGGCGGAGGAGGAGGAGGAGGAGGAGGAGGAGGAGGACGCGTTGCCCGCGGTTCTTCGCCGGGACATTGCAGCGGGGAGTCCCCATTCCACGCTGCTGCCTCTGACTCTGAGCCGTTCATTGACGGTCTTGGGGCCCTGCGAGGGCTCCGCGGGGCCGAACATAGCAGAACCTTCCGACGCGTTCTTTGCCCGACGCGTGGGGCTCTGGGGCGGGGGCGTCCTGCACGAGACGCACATTCGTATCCGCGGCCTCGCGGGGCTGGGCCCCTGGACCGCGACAGCACGGACTCGGGGCGATTGTCGCGGGTGGCCCGCGCCGAACGTAGCCGTGCGGCCGCGTTTCCGCGGGATCGCGCCACGGAGTCCAGACCGCGAGGGCGCGGGCGGAAGTGTTTACCAGAGGTTGGATTTCCCAGTGCGCTTCGCCACACTGCATACAGTGCCGTTTTTAATACATGCTCCGCGTGCGGATCATGTATTAGACATGCGGGGACTTAGTATTAGAAACAACGATGAGTTCATGCATACATTTATTCATACATTAATCATGTATTGAAAATGCTATTTTTTTTGGACATCCTATGTATTAAAAACTGCCCTGTATGTAGTGCTCCCTGGGGTGCTCCGGCCCCCACCCCGCCCGGTCCCCTCGTGTGGGCTCTTGCGCGCGGGCTCTCTGTCTCTGTCTCTGTCGGAGGGCGGGGGTGTCATGTTTGGGCCGCCGTCAGGGACATCGGCTACCGCGTGAACTTTCCAGAGGGCGAGGAGTGGCAGGCCGTGGTCGAGGCGTTCACCCTGGCGGGCCTCGACAGGATGCACAGGAGTTTCGGCGTGAATCCCTGGTTCTCACGCAGGGCAGCCACGCCACACTGAAAGTGAGGTTTGCCCCCTTTCCCCCCCACCCACCCGCCAACACCTCACCTCGCCCCACCCACCCCACCAGCATGAGCATGAGGAGGAGGAGGAAGAGGAAGAGGAGGAGCAGATGAAAAGGAGTCTTCTCTTGCGGACCGAACTGGCGCTGGGGAATCGGACATCCTCGTAAGGGTTCGGTTGGCTGCAGATGGTTGCCTAGGGAGAGGGAAGAAGGCGCGTGGAGGGACGATGAGGAGGAGGATGCTGGAGGAGGGAGGAGGCGGAGACCAAGTCTCGTAATTCTGTGGTTGCCGCTGCCCTGAGGTTCTGGGTAGTGGCTTGGCCGGCCGTCTTCGGGGCCGCGGCCGCCGATTTTTGGCCGGAGATCGAGACCGATGCCGAGCGGCGCTGTGTGGCCGCGCAGGTTTTAGTGGACAGATCCAATGCAATCCCATGCAGTCACAGGGGGTCGTCTGTGGATCGATCCTTGCAAACCTTCTCACACGTGCTGAAGGCACCGTGGCGCGGCTACTTGTGTTTCTCTGAAGCCCTTGCCAGGTGTGTGCGGCACACCTGGAGGCGATCATGCTGAAGAGGGCGCTGAGCGACATAGACGCCGTTGGCGCGCTGCCTGCGCCGGCTGTCCGGGGCCTCCGGGCCATCGGCCAGACGGTGCTGCCAGGGCTGCCCTCCGCGGACAGGAAGGTGCAGGTCTCCAGGCCGCCCATATGGGGTCGGAGAAGATGGGGTCGGTGGACAGCGCGCATCGCCGATGCATCGGCGATGAGGCGCGATCCTCCGATCCCATCCGCTCGGACCCCATCCGGGCGGCCTCCCAGGTGAAGGAGAGGATGTCCGAGCTGAGGCAGACCTTCCAGAGGCCCGCCTCCCAGTGGGTGCCGCCCCCCCTGCCGAGCGAGCCCTCGCGGGCTTTGCCGCCGGCGCCGGTCGCCGCGGAGCCCAGGTCGAAGAAGGAAGAACCACATAATGAACATAAAACTTTTGGCGCTCCGCGCGGATTTCTTGGATCCGCGCCTGGGCCTCCCGGCGGCGCCTCCGGCGCCGCCTCTTGCGAGGGGGATCCAGCGCGAATCCAAGAAGTCCGCGCGGAGCGCCAAGAGTTTATGTTTATGCTTTTTGCTCTCCTTTTACCAGGGGGAGCCGGCCAGCTCCGCCGCGGGCGCCGCCCGCCGGCGCGCTGCCGGCAGAGGCCGAGGGCGCGGCAGCCGTGGCGGCGGAGCCCACGCCGCCGCCGACGCCCCCGGCCTCGGCAGCACGGCCGTGGGAGCAGGACTGCGCGCGGATCGGCACGAACGATTTGTCAGAGCCCCGAATCATCAGGGGTAATTCGGGTCAGGGATAACTCGGGTTCCTTTTTCGTGAATCCAAGCCCGAGTTACCCCGGACCCGAGTTACCCCGGATAACTCGGGCGTCCAGAGCCCCAGAATCATCAGGGGTAACTCGGGTCAGGGATAACTCGGGTTCCTTTTTCGGGAATCCAAACCCGAGTTACCCCGGACCCGAGTTACCCCGGATAATTCGGGCGCCCAACAAAATTTGGGTTCGGAATTTCGGTATCGTTTCACCAATCCCCACCCCCATCCCCATCCCCATCCCCATCCCCTTCGAGACCCCCACCAAATTACCCCCCAGTTGGGGATACACCCCTCGAAGCCCGAAGGGAGCGGCCTATATCCCCATTTGGGGGGGTGAACTGGCCAGTGGGGCCCAGGCCACGCCGCTGGGGATGGGGATCGATTAAACGATACTCAGAATGGGTACGATGCCCAACAGTAGTTCCTGTTCATTTTGAGCAGGACTCGCTGTCCTTGCCGCCGCGGACGTTGTCCACTCGAGGCAAGCGGCCGCCTGCCCAACAGCGGCCGCTGCCCGTTTTTGGAACCACTTGTTGGTACACCTTTCGGGCGTCCAAATTGGAGGGCAACCGTGGACCCAGAAGACCCTTGAACGTCGTGGACCAACCACGGCGGGCGTTTTCTCTTGCTGCCATCGTCGGTTTTTGGGGGGCCCACTGGGCCCCAGGGCCGTCAGAGAACGGCCCGGGTTGGGAAGCCGGTTCCTGGGGGATGGGTGCAGACCTCCAGGGGTCGACCTTGTGAACAGACTCGCTGCTCCAGAGCTCGAGCTAAACGGAGTTTGGGCGATTTCGTGGACCGTTTTCGCTTCGGTTTCGTTTTGCATCGACGGCGGAACGAAGACAGGATGAGGGAACACGAAAACAAAAGAAGGCGGAGACCACTGTTCAGCTCGGGCCCTGCCGTGGATGCCTCCTCGCGCTTGCTGGCCCGAGCTCGAGGCCCCCAGCCCAGCTCGAGGCTCGGACCTCAGCCCGAGGTCCTCCTCTGTTGGGCCCGAGGTCCTCCTCTGTTGGGCCCGAGGTCCTCCTCTGTTGGGCTCTGGGCAGTCCCGGGGTGCACGGCACTCGGCGTCCACGGTGTCCCCGGCCCTGCAGGCCCGCTGGCCCGCATGGGCGAGGTCGGCGGCAGACGCGGAGCCGCCGCTGCCGCTATGGCCGCCTCGTCACCCACGTTTGGAAACTGGAGCGTATGCATCACCAGTGGCGGGCTGTTTCTGGAATTCCAGGACTTTTGGAGGGCCGGGGACGACGCTGGGGTGATGTGGTGTATACTTTGTTCCCCGGTGTCCCGGGGAAACAAAAACAAATGTATACACCAGGATGCCGCATACACCATAATCCGTTTTCTTGTGCGAATCTCAGTGCGGGACCAGAAAAAAGCATCGGTGTAGAGAGTTCGGTTCCTTACATGTGCCTCAAAACCTTTGACCCTCCCCGTGGATCTTGCGGTGGGGAAGCGAGATATCCACATGCCTTTACTCCACGAACATCTTTTGGGTCGCGCCCTTACCAGAATTCTTAACGCTTCGCGTATCTCCACCAGCCCTTTGCTCGACTGCCGACGGACTCCCATCTGGTCCGCCCCTCCGACCGACGCTCGCCGCTTTGTCCCCCCATCCATCGTGATGGATAAGCTGCCCGCGTTGTTCGCCGATGACTTGGTCCGCCGCTCTCGGCAGGTGCCACCCTCGAGCTGGACTGCACAAGTGGTTCATCCTTTGGCAGTGTTCCAGACCTCCTGCAGGGTGGTCCAGGGTGCTCGGCCATGCCTGCTATCGCATCCCCCCCGAGCCTCGGGGTCTGGCAGTCGCAGGTTTCGGACTCCATGATTGGGTTGGTCCGTGCATAACGCTCAGGAGTCCTTGTGAGTGAGGCGTTCCTCGGTTCCCCCTCTTCTGCCCGTGCGTTCTCTCGCGCCCGCCGCCCTTCCTTGCTCTCTCGCCTCGTCGTGTTTGTCGGAGCGGCCTCTCGGGCCCCCCGTGCTGCCACAGCGCAGCGTGCCGGTTCAGTACGGTTCGAGTTGGCGCCACTGTGCGACTTCTCTTCCGTTTAGCTCCGACTGGTGCCTGCGCCCCTGCTCCTGGGTCGCTCGCATCTTAATGGGGGGTATTCTGCCTCTTGAACGTGCATTTGCGTCGTCGGCCTACGTGCCGTCGTTGCCAAATATCTCGCCCTGCACCCCAGCCGAGCCCGTCCCGCTTCCTGGATGTGTCCTTGTGAGCTGTCAATCAAAAAGTATCTCCACCAACCCATTCAGGAACCATGCCCATGAGAACTGATGGGGGAAAGGACCAATCTATCTCTGTATAGATGTAGTGAGATTGAGCGGGCAACGAGGCGGAACAGAGAGACCTGTGGGGCAAGGGGGTACGACGATGATGATGATGATGCAGATTATGATGATGATGAGGATGATGATTCTGATTATGATGATGCTGATGATGATGCTGCTGCTGATGATGATGCGGCTGATGATGATGATGATGATGATGCGGCTGGCGATGACGGTGATGATGATAGATGGTGGTGCTGATGATTGTGCTGGTGCTGATGCTGATGATGACGATGCTGATGCTGATGCTGATGATGCTGTTTCTGATGATGATGCTGATGATGATGCTACTGCTGATGATGATGGTGGTGGTTGTGGTGGTAGTGGAGGAGGAGGCATACGAAAATAATGAGAACAACGATGACGAGGACAAGGCCCTCGCCTCTTGGAACCCTCTTGAGGCTCTTTTGAGAGGTCTTCGGGTCCTCTTGGGGCTCTCTTGGCGGGTCTCCGGGCCATTTTGGGGCCCTCTTGGGGCTCTCTTGGGGCTCTTTTGGGGGCATCTTTGGAGCCCTGGAGGGCCTCTTGGGGTTATCGTGGAGGGCGTCGGAGAACAGAAGGAGGTCCTAACATTTGCCCCCCCCTTGCCCACCGCCTCAACAGCGCATCGCACGCGAAAAGGCGAGACGGCAAAAATCATTGATCTTCTTTGGGTGTTTGAAGGGTTTTAGCCTTTTGGGGGGGTCTTGATGGGGGCTCCGAGAGCATTTCGACCTGTCTTGCGGCCCTGGTCGGCCCTCTTGGGGGCATGTCGGAAGCTTTCTTGAACCATTTTCGGCTAGCTTGAGTCGACTTGGAGGCCCTCTTGGAGCCGTCTTTGGCGAACAAAGGGCCCCCTCCCGAACGGAAGAGGGTCTTTGGAAGAGGAAGAAGGGACAATTTTTCATCCACCCAAGGGATAACACATGTTACCCCCATCCCTGCCCCCCCGTAGCGGTAATTAACGCCCCAACCGGGTCCAGTGTGCCATCTTGGGCAGCCTAGCGCCTGTGGTGATCGCGGGCAATACTGGTGCCGCGGTGCACGCGGGCGTGCAATACGGTGTATACAGGCACTGCGGTGTACACCAGCGTTGTGGCGCACACAACTGTTGTTGCAGCAGCTGCTGTGGTGTACTCAGGCATCGTGGGTCTACGCAAGCATTGTTGTATACACGTAACGAGCCTAGTGGTGTACACAGGTGCCGTGATGTACATAAACGCTGTAATGCGCAAAGTCTCTGTGATGTAAGCGAGCGTTGTGAGCTATGATGTGCCCGCGCATCTCATCAATCTTCTTGCTTCTCCACCCTCGTCATTTTCGTCCTCGTCGTCGTCCTCCCTGCGCATACAGGACGCGGGCATTGTGGCGTACACAAGCATTGTGGTGCACACAGGCCTTGTGGTGCACATACGCGTAGTGTTTCATTCGCTGTGGGCTCAAAATGTCCCAGCGTTCCTAGGGCCAGGAAACACGAATAGTCACAATTTGGTCACATATTGCATATCATGCATTCGTGTCCCCAGCGATTTCCCGGACTTTGGCTCCGTCGTGGCCGTAGAGGTGTACACTCTGTTCGATGCTGGTGTGCATCTCGCCAGTGTTCTTGAAGAAGAGCGCGTGCCCCGAGCTGTCGACCCCATCGTCGGGTTCCTGTTACTCCTCCTGCTTCTCCTGCTGGTGCTGCCGTTCCTCCCGCGTCTCCTGCGTGCACCGCTCTGCGCGCCCCCAACCCGCGTGGTGTTCACACGGGCGCCGTGGTGCGCGCGGTTGCCACGACGTGCACAGTCGCAACGGCGTGCGCAGGCGGTGTGGGCCCAAACTGTCAGAGCGTTCCTTGGGCCAGAAAAACAAGTACCCCAGATTTCGTAATAAAAATGAGGGGGTCTGGGCCCTCCAAGACAAGCCATTTCAGGCCTCCCCCGTGGGAAAACCCTCCAAAACATCGTCCCCAGACAGCCCAGGCCCTCCAAGATAGCCTGGAAGAGACCCCCCCCCGCGAAATGAGACCCCCCTCCCTTTACTACGAAATTTGGAGTAATCACAATCAACTCTCATATTGGATATGATACCTTCGGGCCCTCAGCGTTTTCCTGGAGTTTGGCTCCGTCGGTATCTGCAGGTGTACACAGTATTTGTGGTAGGCACAGGCACTGTGGTGCACAGGGGGTGCTGATGCAGCAGCTGTGATGTACAGGCGCCGTGGTGTGCACACTCAGTGTGATGTACAAAGACGCTGTGATGCGCACGGTTTCTATAGTGTATACAGTCGCCGTGTTGCACGCATACCATTTCTGCAGCTGTTCTGGTGCACAAAGGCATTATGCTGTACACATCCCGTGATCTGTGCGCAGGCACTGTGGGCTTGGACGACGACGGCGACGAAGACGACGACGAAGATGACGACGACGACGACCACGACGACGAAGACGTTGACGACGACGACGACGACGACGACGACGACGACGACGACGACGACGACGACGACGACGACGACGACGACGTAGGCGGCGCGCCTCGGGGAGTGCGCGCCGCGGCCCCCGTTACCGTTACCCCCCCCGCCCGCCCCCCCCCAGGGTAACATGTGTTATCCCC